CACACACACACATACATATATATATATATATATATATATATATATATACATATACATATAAAAATTGAGAGCAACTGGAGAAAAGCGCATATTCCATAAAATACGAGTTTACGGAACATTGTCCGTGTTTTATTGTTAATCTCTTGAGTGAATATATACCCCGCGTTCTAATTGTCTGCTATATGAAACGAATATTCTCTGGCCGTATTTATCGTTCACAGTATCCCGGCATCGGTTGAATACTAGTTTGTGAGATACGATAAATATTATAAAAATTGTTGGATTACAGCCAAAAAGTCACTTAACGAATCCAGTTCTACATACGCAACCGCAATAGATGTTGCAGCAACCTATATCATTGTCGCTACAGATACTGGTGTAAACAGATATATGTACTTAAATTTCATCATTTAGTTGCAGTATTACCATTTTCATGTTATCTCAGCAACCAGTAAACAATAATAGTAATTATCTGTTACGCGATGAATTTCGAAAATTGCCATTTAATCGTCAATGACAATTGATAACAGTGAAATGTATTTTTCCGTTTGGAGTATAGATACTGAAAGAAATATAATCGAGAAGAATAATTTTTAAAGGATGAGAAAAGCAATAAATAACTCTTTCAAAGTTATATAATTTAAATAAATAATCTCTCTTTCCATTAAATGGAAATGGAATAATATTTAAGATACTTTCAATGCTATATAGTGTTTTTTTTATAATCAATGTGCTACAATAATTAATAAAAGTAATAAGAAAAATCCTTCCTGATAAATTAATTACGATAAATTATTAGAATAAAAAGTTATTAGAATTAAAACAATTAGAATCAATTTTTTATTAGGATATGTTAGATCCACTTTAATTGATTCTTATTACCATTATTAAATCAGTTTTCATGATTATTGGCTCGTCATCATTCTTACCGCTCCGGCAATATCTGCAGAAAATCCGTAAGCATAAGCGTGCTTGTCATACTGAATTGTAACATGCGATTCCATACGAAATTCGCACGACTTTCCGAATAGCGCGGGAAAAAAAATATCGCGAATCACGGACGAGACGCGCTCGTAACGAACGAGCACCGCGCGATTAAGTTAATTGCCCCTTTAATTAGAAGGCGGGTGAACTTATGTCGCGTGTAAGAGCCGCTCCTCTCCGCCTAGCACAAATATTTAATTACAGCGTCACACGTGCGGGATTACTCGGGTCTCCTTTGCATTCGCAAGATGCTAAATACTTAGTACAGGATAGGATTTGTACCGAGTTGCTGCACACGCTCGATTTCATCTCCGCGCGCACGAGCGACAGTGCAGTCACGGAACGTCCGCCATCGTTGGGATCATCGTCTTCCGCGATGCACGCTGCACGCGATTCAGCAGGCTCATTTGAAGAAACAAATTGGTAATTATTAATAATTAGGATTTTCAATTTAAATTAGCAGGCACTTTATTTGCAGCAATTATTAATGACGCACAATAATTAATATTTATAATTGAATGCCAAATCAATAGTTAAACGCGAGTTTGCCGTAAATTAAAATCCCGACTTTTTTATTTTATTTTACATGAACCTCGGCTTTTCAAATCTTGTTGAATTATCATAACTGCGCCATTTAACAATATTGCTGGATAGTAAACATATATTATATACATATCTATCTATATATATTTTCTTGTGGTTTATTTGCGGACTTGCGGTTGATATTGAATATTCATCAATGTTAAATTAAATATATTGCAACACATATATCGTTCTTATTTACAGAGATTTGTTTATGCATAACTGGTTATTAGCAAGAACTCACTGAATTTGCAGTACCTGTATGCAAATATCGCCGAACCGGCTTCGTAGGCGGTCTATCTATTATCGTATTGTATCGCAAGCACATGTAAGAGACATTTCGTTCTCGCGTTTAATTATTCCCATCGATACCCACACGAGTGGCGAGTATATCGCAGATTTCTGCGTCTCTCACCGTGTGTGTGATGCTAATCGAGAACAGCGGAGCAACGAGATCGCGTTGTGCGCACACAGGAGGATGGAATTCGATTGAAACCGACGAAAGACGGCGTGTTCTCGCCGCGCAAATCGGATCTGTCAAGGAAATCACGCGTGCGGACGCGCCGTCGGGCGCGCTATCGACGGGCGGAGGGTGGAAATGTAACGCGGGTTTCAATGAGGGGTGGTGGCCCGAGGGAG